TTGTTTTTCTTTTGCTGCTTTCAGTATTCTCTCTTTGTTCTGTACATTCAGTGTTTTTACTATGATATGTCATGGGGAGTTTCTTTTGTGATCCCATTTGGTGTTCTATGTACTTCCTGTATTTGTATTGGGATGTCTTTCCTTAATTTTGGGAAATTCTCTTCTACAATCCTGTTTAAGATCTGGTCCACACCATTAACCTGAAATTCTTCTTCCTCTATGCCTATGATATGTAGATTTGGTCTTTTCATGGTGTCCCACATCTCCTGCATATTTCATTCCTGTGTTTAAATTTTTCATAATCTTTGCTTGAGTGGTCCAATTCTTCAACTTTATCCTCCAGTGTTGATATTCTGTTTTCCATTTCATTCATTCTAGCCGTGAGGCTTTCCCTATTCTTTCAAGTTGGCTTATTGAGTTTTGCACTTCCTTCTTCATGTCTGCCTGAGTTTTCTTCAGTGTTTCTCTTTTGTGAATTCATTCAGAAGTTTATCTCTAACTTCTTTTAGTTCTTAGATTTGTTTATTCGTGTGTTCTTTAAATTCCTTGAATTCCTTGATCATGATTTTGATTGTTCTTTTAAATTCTGTGTCATGGATTATCTCTAGGAGGCTCTCCTTGTAGAGCTCTTTTACAGGACTGTTGGAGTTTGGTGGTGAGGACATAGTGTTTTGGCTTTCCATTGTATTATTTTTTTCATTGTGAGTTTTGGCATGTGAATTTCTTTTGTTTATGATTCTCGTATGAAAATCAAGTCTTCTTTTGTTTTGTTGAAATTTGCTTCTGTTTGTATTATTGGTGTGCCTTGGTTGTTTTCTTATTGGTTATATAAAGCTGGTTGGTCTAGGTTTCTGGTTCTCTCCGATTTTACTTTGGAGGGAACTGATGGCTTCAGATCAGCTACTCAGGAACTCCCACCGAAGCCCAAATCAGGCTCCAGTCAGGTACACTCAGGCTTCCTTCTAATGTTTGGATCCCTACTACTGAGTTCCCTAAGGGGAGGCCCAATTTTGGGACTCTTAGGCAGTCAGTCTGCTGAGTTCTCAGCCCCTACACCAGGCAGAGGCCAGATCAGGCGCTCTCAGGTGAGGTCTGTTGAGTTCTCAACCCCTACACCAGAAGGAGGCCAGATCAGGTACTTTCAGGGTGTCTGCTGAGTTCTTAGCCCCTATACCAGAGGGAGGCAGGAACAGGCACTCTCAGGCAATCTGCTGAGTTCTCAGCCCTTACACCAGATGGAAGCCAGATCAGGTACTCTTAGGCTGTCTGCTAAGGTCTCAGCCTTACCTTACCATAGGGCAGAGGTCTGCTGTGGGGCTGTGGGAGGGGCCCCAGGTAGGAGGTTGTGTACAGTGTGATTTGGGCAAGCTCACCACCACACCTACCACATGGAGGCTGGATCCAGGCCTTCTCAGGTGGTCTGCCGAGTTCCTAGTCCCTACACCAAGCAGAGGCCAAATCAGGCACCTCAGGCAGTCTACTGAGTTCTCAGCCCCTATACCAGATGGAGGCCAGATAGGTATTCTCAGCTGTCTTGGCTTTATATTTTTTAAGAACCTTATTGCTGTATATTTGTATCCTTCTTTTGACCTAAAGTTTATGACTCTTCTATATTTAACAAAAAGATTTATGTGGAGTATTTGCCTGCGTGTATGTATATGTGCCATGTGTATGCCAGTACCCTTGGAGGTCTGAAGAGCGTGTTGGATCCCCTGGAACTGGGTTACAGGTGGTTGTGAGCTGCTGTGTGAGTGCTGAGAACCAAACTCAGTCCTCTGCAATAGCAGCAAATGCTTTTAATCATTGAGTCGTCTTTCCAGCCCCAACACTCCCTATATTTTATACTCATGTATTTTGTGACCCTCAAATATGTCATTTTTATTATTTTAAAGATTAAATTTGTGTGTCTTTGTGTCTGCCACATGTTCATGTGGGTTGGGGGGTGGGGTGCCTGCAGAGGCCAGAAGAGGGCATCAGATCCCTTGGAGCTGGAGTTACAGGAGGTTATAAGTTGTTCCTTTTGGGTGCTGGGAACCAAATTTAGGGTCTTCTGGAAGAGCAGCCAGTGCTTTTAACTGCTGAGTCATCTTTCCAGCCCCTTTCTGAGTTGTTGATAACACATTTGCTGTGTGTAGTTCTTCAGCTCAGTACTGCTCTAGTTTTTACTCTTTTTCTTGTGTTTGTCTTGGGTGGTTTAGACAGTTTTGTCTTCAGCTTCCTCAGTTTGCATCTGCATTATCTAGTCTCTCATCCTGTGCTTTTCCTTTCAGATGTGTCTTCTCCTCTTTAGAAGTCAGGCTTGGGGCTTTGCTGTAGCTTGCATATTTCTGCTTTGCACGCTTATTCTTTCCTATTACGGGTGGATGGACTGTATTTATGATACCCATTAATGTCTTTGTCTATTAATTATGTCAATTCTCACTCAAGGGACTCTGCTGATTTTTTTTTTTTTTCCTTTTGCTTGATATTTTCCTGCTTTTTGGTCTGGTAAGGAATTTTTTTTAACTTTTATTTTTAAATTTTATTTATTATTTTTACTTTATGCATATGCGTGTATTGCCTGCATGTAAGTAAGTGCACCTGTGTCGTGCAGTGCCTGTGGAGGTCAGAAGAGGCTGTCGGATCCTCTGGAATTTTTTATTGCTTTTCAGATATTGTAGACTTCACGTTTTTACATGTGTTTTCTTTTTAATTATTTTAAATACTTTTTAAAGGTTATTTTGGGACCAAATATAAGTTACTTAGAAACCACTGATTCTTTCTGGGCCACGTATTGTTGATCTAGGCCCCATACTGTGGCCAGAGTACCCCTTTGTCAGGGATATTCTGCTTGTTGCCTGTGTATCCGAAGGTTCTTTCACACTGGCTGTAAGAAGGACTAAGTGTTCCCAGCCCTGTATAACCTCTGAAAGTGGTTCTCTTTTCCATCTTAGTGCTTTGTCAGGTTTTGAATAGTTTCTTCTTATACATGTTCAGTCAAAGACTCAAAGAGATTGATTCTGGAGTTCTCCAGAGATTTCTCTATATACTATTACTTTCTCACTGAAGTATCATACTGGCCTACATTAACTGTATTTCATCTTCTCGGCTTGGTGAGATCACCAGATTCTACTTGTGCTCTTCCTTGTGCTGCAGACTGGAAGCCTCCAGGTCTGGGTTGATGGCATTCAGGCCTCACGTATTGCATTTTCCTTCTCAGGGATTGCGTCTTTTGTTTCCTGATTAATGTCTAAAAACTGTAGCTGCTTAATCTATTGTCTGGGTTTCTAGATGTTTGAGACGGGAGGCTAAATCTGATCCTTATCTCTTCCTCATGCTTAGAAGTGCCAGTGGGATTCAAGCCATAGACCACATAACCTTTTTCTCTACTGCCACTGGCAAAGTGATAGATACATTATGGTATTGTGTACTAAATACCCATCTTACTGAGTGAGAAGTTTTGACTCAGTAATTGCATTCCAATGATGTGTGTTTTTATGTACTAAAACTGGTTCTGACATAAGTTATAGCCATATATTTTCCTTAAGATTATTATAGTCTGTGTTTCCTTCCTAAAATTTGGATATGTGAAAAGTCAAGTAAAAGGTTAAGTTAGCAATGTAGATTCTAAGTAGTGCCTGGAATTCATGAATGAAAATTCCAAATAGGTAATATTTATATTTCTCAGACAGATTAATAATTAAGGGAATGATGCCAGGTGTAAATAGCATATTTCTGCTTTTCTTCCTTATTTGTTGCTTGATCCTGTTTTGAAAATAATTGACAACCTGTACATTAAGTCAACTTTAATGTAATTTAAAAATCACCCAGACTAATAGCCAAAAAATGACTGCATTTAATCAAATTGTACCTTTGTTTGATGTTGTGATTTTCTGCATAGATAAGTAAATAAAATTATCTGATGGAAATACTGTGTCACAGAATAATTAATCAAAAGACAAGGAAATTTAGCTTCATTTTATTGTTATTAACTAGTAAGTTCTTAATATAGGATATTACTAGAATACTGTTGATACTATTGACTGTTTTCATCCTTATAATGAAATCTTTTGCTTTCTATAAACTCTGTAAATGGCTAGGAATAGCATGCTGTGTATGGGTTTTCAAATTACCTGTTCTTTATATGTTGCTTTCTCTTTAGTGTTGCCCTGGGAACTGTCCACCTTGTGATCAAAATTGTGGACGGACTTTAGGATGTAGAAACCATAAGTGTCCGTCTGTCTGCCACAGAGGTAAAATTTCATAATAGATAAAATTTTATGTTTGTGTTTACTTAGTGCTTTATAGTCAATGGAGAGCATTCAATTCATTATCTCTTTTGGACCTCTTAATACTCTTGAGAAGAAGGTAAGATGATTGCTTTATTCCCATTGTATGAACAAGGTGAGTAAACCTAAAGAGTGACTTAGAGAAATAGCAGGACAGCTGTGTGGCAAGATCAAACCCAAGTGCGAATAGATGAGTTTTGTCCTTTTTGCAGCAGCATGTTTTTACTTGCCTCCTTTTTCCTAACCTTCCCATACAGGCTTTTTTCTTAAGGTGTTCATAGATTTTTCTCTTGTAGTCTAAATTTTATATACTTAATGGAATTACATGTAGTAAGGGATTAACTACATTCTCAGCCAGGGGTTCTGAAACATTTTAATCACAGGATCCCTTTATACTCTTTGTAACCCTAAAGGACTTTGTTGATGTATGAGTTTTATCCATTGACATTTGTTGTATTTGAAATTAAAATATAATTATTTTAAATGGTTTATTTAAAAATTGTATGCCAAGTAGGCCCATTTTTTATATATATAAAAACATGACTGATTTTTGGAAAAGAACTAAGTTTTCTTTGAAGATGCTAGTAAAAATGGTATTGTTTTACTTTTTTGCAAGTATCTTCAGTGTCTAGCTTATTAAAGTGTAATTTATTCACAGACCTGCTTCTTTATTCAGTCAGATTTAATATTACTTGTCACTAGTTTCTAGAAAATTCTAAGCCTGTGAGACTTTGCAGATGCTCACAGATTGGTCTGAAGGACACCATGGTTCCTGGATTATCCTTTGAAAATTGTGTTCTAGGTTATTACAGTGATGTTTTTGAGCACCTACTAAGTATTAAGTACTGGTATTACAAGAGTGAACACAGTCGACCAAAGTCCTTGCTCTTATGAGGCTAATTTTTCTACTTTCTCTTCTCAGTAGAATACAGATAAATTAATATAGATGTTATAGATGTTAAGTAGTGACAAGCATTAAATGAAAATGTGAGTAAAACTAAAATTGTCATAGTTGATTTCATGTACTATTTTAGACACTATTGAGAGGACTCTGCAAAGGAGAAATTTGAGAGTAGACCTGAAGAAAGGGTTCAAGTCACATGTAAATGGGAATAGTCTGGTGTTCTAGACAAGAATACAGTGGTTGCAAAGTTCATACTGCTCAGGGGAACATACGGGAGGACTTAAAGTCAAAGAGGTGGTGGATTAAAGAAACGCTTTGAAAAGGAGAGTATGACTTTTTTTCTTTTCAGGCAGTTGCTATCCATGTCCAGAAACTGTAGATGTGAAATGTAGCTGTGGAAATGCAAAGGTGACAGTGCCCTGTGGCCGAGAGAGGACCACAAAACCACCCAAATGCAAAGAGCTGTGCAGGTTGGTATGAGGTGTTCCACAAACCCACATCTAATATCTTAAGAATTCATAGACAGTTTTGGTATTTGTTAGTATTGTAATTTTACTTTGCTTTAGTGTTTCAAATAATATTTTCAGTCTGCTGCTTCTGTTATATCAGAAGACATAAATAGGTAATTACTCTTTAAATGTATTGTTCAGTGGTCAAAAGTAACTTAAAAATGTGAACTTTCTGATTTAGTCAACCACCAACATGTCATCATACAAGTCGAGAAAAACACCGATGTCACTTTGGCCCTTGTCCACCGTGTCATCAACCTTGCCAAAAAGTTTTGGAGAAATGTGGTCACTTATGTCCTGCTTCATGCCATGATCAAGCATTGATAAAGCAGACTGGCAGGGTAAGAACGGTAGTGTTAAAGAATGGTGCATTCAGTAAACAGTGATTAAGTGTCTTTAGAATACCAAACACTGTGTGAGGACCTAGGGAATGAAGCAAACAAAACTTGGCCTTTTGTCTTAAAGTCATAAAGATTAGGTATGTCACTCAGTGGTAGAGCACTTCCCTAGCATCTGTAAGGCCCTGGGTTTATTCCCCAGCACTGGGGAAAAAGAAGTAAAAGAAAATATGCTTATAGTATAGAAAAGAAAATAAGCCAATAAATACATATTTGTAAATACAGTGTGGTGATCATGGTATTAGATAAATTTTCCAGTCTTCCTTCAGATATTGTGGCTGGGTATAGATATTTCAATATTTCCTTCAAGATACATTTATTTAATGCTTACTGAGCCTTTACTGTGTGTCAAGTTCTAGGTGGTGAGGAATAAGAGTGACTAGAATACAGGAGATTACCTGCAGGTGTTGGAGTTTATAGTTGTGTTTCTCATTCTCTTTGGCTTCTGATAGGTTAAGGAGGCTCTGCTACCTTTGTCCTACCTTTTAAAACGAGACATCTACCTTAAATTTTAATTTTATGGAATATATGTAAAGGGAAATTGTGTGATACAGTCTAGCTGGGATAAAATGTTTGTGTAAGCACAATTTGTGGAGTACTTGAAAAAGTTTCACCCTGTTTGAACAAAGGATCCATAAGAGCTAGTTCCTTAGTTTCTTGAAAAGGCTCTATGGTATAACCTTTCTGACATTAAATTGTATTTTCCTCCTAGCATCAGCCTACAGGTCCTTGGGAGCAGCCTTCTGAGCCCGTATTTATTCAGACTGCACTGCCTTGTCCTCCATGTCAAGTTCCTATTCCTGTGTGAGTATTAGAATTTTAACTTTAAAAAGATGTTTTTGATGTAGTATGAACACTATCTTACTGCCTTATTCTTCCTCTACCCCTTTATAGTTTCATCATTATTTCAGTCCAGTCTGTTAACTAGTCCCTGTGTTCACTTCACTCTTTCTCAAATATGTCACTGTGATACTTGAACTTCCTATGGATCTCTGTTTTTCTGTACCCTTTCTTAGTGAGTTTAGTGTCCTTAGCTTTCCATATCAGCTGGTACTTACAGTTATGAAAACACTTTTAAGAGGCTCATCGTTTGTTACTTTTCCTGGTGATTCCTGTGGTAGAATGCAATATCTTTGAAGACACAGAAAGCTAAATTTAGATGGTAGACATTTGAAAGAGGGTGCAAAGGAAGCATTGAAAATGACAGGGAGTGGTTTCCTGAATGGATCAGGGAATGACTGGGATTGAGCTTTAAGGAATTGAACCTGGGAGATAAGGAATCCTTTAATGTTTCATAATTTCATCAGAGGCTGTAGAACGAAAACACAATTCAAGGAAGCAACATAATATTAGAAAAGGAGCTGTTATATACAACTAAATTTACAGATCAGTGATTGGCGTATCTTGTGTATTGACCTTTGAAAGATGGGATTTTGAAAGATGGGATTTTGATTTTCTTTATTTCTAAAAGCACTCTTTTTTTTCCTTCCTTTACAACATTCCTCTTCTTAAGCTGTGGTTCATAATCTTTTTTACATGTTGCTGAATTCTGTTTACTTGTATTTTGCTAAGAGTTTTTGGAACTGAGTGTGATAATCACACCTCTAATCCCAGCACTCAGGAGGATGAGGCAGAAAGATTACTATGAATTTGAGGCCAGCCTGGGTTTACATAATGAGTTCCAGGATAGTATGGGTTACAGAGTGAGGCCCTATTTAAAAAAAAAAAATTACAATATTCATATGGAATATTTATTTGTAGTGTTCTTATGATACCATTTTTCCAGATTTTAATATCAGGGAAATGCTAGATTTACTGAATAATTTGGGAAATACTTCTTAAGGATTAATATTGAGTTCTTTTAATATATCATAGAATTGAAGCTTCTGGTCCTGAACTTTTCTTTGTAGTGAGTTAGTTTTTAGCCTGTTCCAAAGCATTGTATACATTACGCTAAGGTTTATGCATTAAGGTTCCACTGCATCTCCATGGTTTGATACCTTGTTTTTATTACTGAACAACATTGCACTGCATGGATATCCACAATTAATTTTTTATTTTAATATAGTATTTTTATTCTTTGAGGATTTTATACAGTATATTTGATCGTGTTCATCTCCCCATTTCTCCTAACTCCTCCCAGATCTGCCTCCCACTTATATTTTGATCACACTCAGACCCCCTCCCTCATCTTCACTCTCACTCTTTGCCCCCCTCCCAACTCATGTCCTCTATTATTGTTTTTATAAAGGTCTATCAAGTCTTATCTGTGTTCCCCAAAAGCTCTCGGGTACGGGTCTGTCCCTTGCAATCTAGTCAACCTACCGGGCTTTGCACTCCTAAAGAAAATTGATCATTCTGTCCCAGTAGCCATCAGTTGCCAGTAGACCCTCAGTTAGGGCTGGGGCTTCTTGCCCATCTCCCTATTCATGCTGGGGTTTTGTCTGGCTTGGGCTTGAGTAGGTCTTATACATGCTGTCATAAATTCTGTGGGCTCATATGTGTAAATAGCCTGTGGTGTCCCTACAGTACAGTTTTCCTTGAATTTATCTACTACCTCTGGCTCTCACAATCTTTCCATTCCCTCTTCCACAACATTTCCTGAACTTTGGGAGGAGAGGTATGATAAAGGAGTCCCATTTAGGGCTAAGCATTCTATAGTCTCTTGTTCTCTACACATTTACCAGCTGTGATTTTTTTTTTTTTTTAATAACCCACCGAATCTAATTTGTATTGCCTTATACTCATGAATAATCCCACAGTTTATTTGCTAATTCACCAACTGAAGGACATTTTGGTTGCTTCTAAGTTTGGTCAATTAAAGATAAACTTGCTATACATGTTTATGTACAAGTTTTTGTGTGTGTATAACTTTTCAGCTCGTGTGGATAAACACCTGGGGGAGCAGCTGCTGACTCATATGGTGGGTTGCGTTTGGTTAGTTAAAGTGTTGTCAGATGTCTACCAAAGTGGCTTCCAGATTGCATTCTCATCAGCCATGTGTAGAGCTCCTTTTGCTCAGCATCCTACTAGCATAGGGCATGGCCAGTCTTTTAGCCTTTTGACTAGGTATTTGGAGGTATCACCTTTAATTTGCAGTTTTCTAATGACCTGATGCTGGGCATTCTTTTCACATGCTTATTTGCTATCTGTAGGTCTTTTTGGTGAGATTTATTTTCTGTTCAGATCTTTTGCCCATTTTTTAATTTGGTCGCTTGCTTTTCTATTGTTAACTATTGGAGTTATTTGTATTGTATTGTTAGAAGTAAGTCTTTTACCAGATATGTTTTCCCCTAGTTTGTATCTTGCCTTTTCCTTCTATAAAGTGTTGTTTGTATAATCGAGAATTTTAGTTTAGTAAATTACAGCTTTCCCATTTCCTTTCGTAGATCATGATTTCATTATTGTACCTAAAAAGTCATCACTAAACTCAAAATTATTTAGGCCTTATCCTGTGTTTTATATGTTCCTGTTTCACATTTAGGTCTGTGATCCATTTTGAGATTGTGAAAGGTGTAAAGTCTGTCCTTTTTTTAAGTGGATATATATTTGTTTTACAGCACCATTGTTTCCTGAAAAGAATTTCCTTTCTCCTGTAATTTACCTTTGCTCTTTTGTCAAAGATCATTGATTTTATTTGTGTGGGTCTAGTTCTGGGCTCTTTATTCTGGTCTGTTAATTATTTTTCTATTCTTTCATCAATACTGTGTAGCTTTACTATAGCTTTATAGTAAGTCTTAAAGGTAGCTAATGTCAGTCCTTCAGTAATGTTTTGACTATTTTGAGCTTTTTGTTTTTCCTTACTGACTTTTAGAAGTAGGTATTGAAGTGTTTTGTTTTGTTACTTGATTTTTAGAGCCAGGGTCTCATGTAGCCCAGACTGCCCTTGAACTTGCTATTAAGCTGAGACTGGCTTTGAACTCCTTATCCTCCTATCTGTACATCTGAACGCTGAGGTTACATGCATGTGCTACCATGCTTGGCTTTAGTTCGGTGCTATCTATAAAATCACTAGCTTAGATATTGATTGGAACCGTGTTGAATGTAGAGGAGATTGGGAAGGGGTGTTAAGCCTTTTTGCCTTTAAACATGGAATTGCTGTCTATTTGAACCTGTAAGTTTTTTCATTAGCATTTTCTAATTTTTTAAAATATAGCTCATATACTTACATAATATATAGTTCTGTTTATACTCATTTCATTTTGTGTGTGTGTGTACCAATCTAAATAAATTTCATATCTCAATTGTTTACTATAGCATATTGGAAAGAATTATTAACTTTATATCCTGTAACTACTGTAATTATTTATTTCCGTATATATTTTTTTTACTCTTTAAAAACAAGTAGAGTTAGCCTTGAAGAATTTATAAAGTTTTCATTTTATATTTTCCTTATAGGGAATGTCTGGGGAAGCATGAGGTGAGTTGTAGGCATAATTTTAGAGTCAAGCTTGTGATCTGTATCACTTTTGTACTAGAGTTGTTATAACAAATAGCAAAGTATTGTGTACTAGTGTTCTAAAGAGTGCAAGAGTTTAATAAAATATGTATACACTGCTTTTATGTGAGAATTAGCCTGTGTGTGTGTTCCCTATAGAATCATTTTATTGAATCCCCCTTTTAAAGATTTATTTTAATTGTATGTGTGTGTGTTTGTGCTGGCAGAGGTCAGAGGCTTCAGATCTGCCTAGAGCTGGAGTTATAGGCTGTTGTGAGCTGCCTGATATTGGTGCTGGGAACTGAACTCTGGTCATCTGTAAGAGCAGTTAGTGCTCTTTACCATGGAGCCATCTCCTCAAATTTCCATTTTACTAATAGAATATTTTGTTTATTGGTATTCATTTTTAGGAGAATGTTTTGATAAGTTTCTTTAGTTTTGATACACATATTATTAATGGACTTTTGTGAAACTGATGTCAAATTAGTTAATTTGAAAATATGAGCCCAGAAAGTTCCATGCTCCATGTGTGCTGTGTTAATTTCCTGTTTATTTTTAAGGTGAGCCCACTGCCATGCCATGCTATAGGACCCTACTCTTGTAAGAGACTTTGTGGAAGAATATTGGATTGTCAGAATCATACATGTATGAAAGAATGCCACAAAGTGACTGAAGTTGATGGTTGCAGTGGCAAAAACAAGGTAATATACTTAGGATGAAAGCACATGTGCCTGCTGTATCCTTGAAACATTGCTTTTCAAGAATGATACCACAAATAATGCTAGCATTTTGCATTAGGCACTGTCCACTTTGGTTTGAGACCGTGTTGTCACTGGCCTGCAACTCACCAAGTATGCTAGACTGGCTGCCTGGAAGAGCGCAGGTGTCCGCCTACTTCCCCCTTGCAGCACTGGGATTATAAGCATGTGCTGTTATGCTAGCTTTCTATGGGGTTCTGGGGGTTGAACTCGGGTCCTCATGCTTTCTTACTAACTGAGCTCTCTTCCGAAGCTTATTCTTTTTTTAAGATTAAAAAAAAAGGAAATTATTATAGAAGAATGTTTTTATAATTTGAAACAGCAAAATAGTATAGAATTTCATTACTATATTAGACATCATAATCATGCCTGTACTTAGGATAATAAGAATTCTTAACCTTTACATTTTAGTATTCATATCCATAGCCCTTTTACACATTTTATTTCAAATACAACATTTGAAAATAAACAGTAGCCTACAGTTAAAATCCTGAACCTTTTTTGATAGATTCTAATCTTAGTTGTAGTACTAAATAAGTCATTAGAACAGCAAGAGGGACACATTACTGTTATACTTAGGTGCATTTTGTTCATGAATGAAATTTAACTTTATTTATTAATAATATATTGCTTTTCTCTAGATTAATGATGATCATGTTTCTTGGGTGGGAATGTATCGACAATTTTTACTCAATATTTTTTCTGCCAGTGATTTCTTGGAAGTAATTTACATTTTAGTAGGGATACTTTATGTGATCAAATTAATTTTAAAGGTAAGGTGGATTGACATTTGAAGTTCAAAGTCATAAAAATCTGAATGGTGGGTCCTACTTGCAATCTTGTTAGTCTTTTTGGATTTTTCTTTTTATTTTTGTCTGAGACAGGGTCTCCCTGTAGCCCCAGCTGGCCTAGAATTCTGTGTAGGCCAGTCTGGCCTTGATCTCACAGAGATCTGTCAGACTGTGCCTCCCCAGTGCTAGGATTAAAGGCATGTACCACCATACCTGGCCCCAGTCTTGTTAATCTTGTCTTGACTATTAAGATTAAGAAGAGCATGTACCATTTTATTAATGGAGTTTCTTCTCTACCTTACATTTTGAGGTAAGGTATCTCAGTGAACCTGGAACTTGCCAGTTAGCTAGACTAACCAGCAAGCCCCAGAGATCCTCCTGTCTCTGCCTCCCCAGTGCTGTTATTACAGGTGCATGCCAGCATACTTGGCTTTTACATGGGTGCTGGGGATTAAACTCAGGTCCTTGTGCTTGAGCCCTGTTGATATTTCTAAGGCCTACAGAAGCACTTTTTTAAATGATAGCTAACTTTTATAACCTTAATGTATGGAAATGTGAGAGTTTTGTATTTTGGTGATTTATTTCCTTGTAATTGTCCAGGCTGGCACAGAATGCCTTCAGTGTGAAGAAGGGTGCTCTAAATCACGGCCTCTGGGCTGTCCTCATCCCTGTGTTTTGCCATGTCACCCTGGAGAATGTCCTCCTTGTGTTCAGATGCTTAGAATAAAATGTCACTGCAAGATCACAAGCCTGTATGTGGAATGTAGGTAAGTGGACTGAAGAAATAAATATTGTTTTACTAAGATGATTTGAATGACATCTTTCGTGAAAGAGGCCTTTATAGTATTTAAGTAGTGTTGTTCAGTTGTGTTCCTTAAATTCTGAAGCACAGGATTTTTTCAGTAGTGACCTCAAAGGAAGAAATGTAGATATTTAGATATTTTACCCTGATTTCAACCAGCACAATTCTCCTTTATTCTATTTGGAAGTTTTGTATAAGGTGTTAGGAAAAAAATTGTATCACTGTTTTTTAAAAAAAAAATTAGAAAATTATTGCTATGATGTTTTAAAACAACTACCTTATTTGCAAGCTAGTTAGGTATAGTTTTTAATTTATATTTTTTAATGATAGGCCTTTATTATAAAGATATTCCTGGTAAAGCATTTACCGTAGTAGCAACTGCCTTGTATATGTATTTTTAAAATTTTATTTAGTATTTCTTATGTGTGTGAGTATATTGCCTGCATGTATGTAAGTGCACCCATGTTGTGCAGTGCCCATGGAGGTCAGAAGAGGGCATTGGATCCCCTGGAGTTATGGATGGTTGTTAGCTGCCATGTGGGTGCTGGCAATTGAACCCAGGTCCTTTGCAAGAGCAGCCAGTGCTTTTAACTGCTGAGCCACCTTTCTAGCCCCCTAGTATATTGTCTTTACCTAAAATACGGGGATTATGTGGAGGTTAAAAAATTGCTTTTGTTTTCTACTTAATAATGATCTAACATTGTTTACCATTAACCCTCTCATTTCTATATTATAGAAGTTTGCTAAGATGGTGTTTTACTTACATAATTAGGTTAAATTTGGGAATATAGTTTTACTTCACGATTAAAAAAAAACATCTTTATACTCCAGACTCATGCTGTAAAGTTCTAAAAATAAATTTTACTACTTTTAAGATTGTTTTGTTGAGGTTTTTTAAAACACTGCAGTTTCCCTACATGTTTTGTAGGGAAAGTTAAGGAGGTAGTTTTGCATTATTAATTCAAGATACTGATGAAAAGAAATTAAAAATAGTGTTACCCTTACCCCAGCCTCTTTCATTGTGGGGCTTTTCATTCCTGATCTCAGCATCTACTTAGGACTCTGCTCTGAGGGGTTGTTAGCATGGTGGTTGCCAGGTGCTCATGTCTAACTCTGCTATCTCTTTTACATTCATAAATTGGCATTTTACCCAAAGAGTACTTTCCCTCACTTGTTAATAATTCAGGCCAGTGGAGTCTTATTTTATTCAATGTGTCCTTATCAATTTTAGTTTATTGAGAGTCAAAGGAGCATCTAAGCAAGTTTTCATATTTCTTTAACATGTTTCTGCCTGCATTTTCTAACTTTTTGGTGTAATAAAAAAGTGCTCTCTTGTGTGGTGGTCAGTTTTGGAAATGTTTATTTTGCTTGGAAATTATCTGTTTGATCTGATTTTTAAATTTATTTTTGTAATGGTGTAAAGTAGTTGCATATAATTAAAAAAACTACCTAAATTTTTTTGTTCTTGAGTGTTTTTGTTTTGCCTCAAAATTTTATTATTAATATGTATGTGTGTAAATGCACATGCAAACAAGTGGGGGTACATATGCTATGGAGCATGTATGAAAGTCAGAACATAGTTTTGTGGAGTCAGTTTTCTCCTTCTTCCTTTACATGGGGTCTGGAGATTAACCTTAGTTCTGCTGTGCCATCTCACCAGCCTCCACAGTGCCTTAAGTTGGAAATAATTGTTATAGAAACATCATTTAAATGTTCCAAGGAAATGAAATAAGATACTTTTATACTTTTATCGGTATGTATGAAATTGTGAATAATTCTTAGAAAACATAGAAGAAGTGGACTTTGGTTTGAATGTCATCAAAACTTTCCTATTTTTAGAAAAATAACCTCAGCTGATATAAATGAAAAGAACCTCCTCAGTTGTTGCAGAAATCAGTGCCCTAAAGAGGTAAGCTATACTAGGACCTCTTTAAATTTCATGTATGTGAGTGTATTGCCTGCATGTATGTATATAAATGCACCCGTGTCACACAGTGCCTACAGAGGTGAGAAGAGGGCATTGGATCCCTTGGAACTGGAGTTAGGGATGATTGTTAACTGCCATGTGGGTGCTGGGAACTGAACCCAGGTCTTCTGCAAGAGCAGCCAGTGCCCTTAACTGCTGAGCCATCTCTCCAGCCCCATAATAGGACATTTTAAGTTGGGTTCCCTGAGCATTGCTTCTCTGGGATTTTCTCTCCTCTCATTTGGCTGTTTTATTCCAGGTATTTCTTAGTGGATCTTTTCTGGGCCCACTAAAAATGTGAGTGATGCGTGAATATGTAACATATATGCTTAGGGTAGATGCACATCTATGTGGAATTTGGGGGGTATTTGGACTAGAAGCAACCCTTTGGAGATAATTTTTTTTAAGAGAACAGTTTTAAAGATAATTTATGAACTTTATTGTGGAAGTATTGACTTACTGCTTACAGTTCAAAATAAAACTCAGGCTTGAAATACAGATTAAAAACTGTATGGGTTATAGGCAGTTAGATAAAAATGGTGCATGTGTGCATATGTATACCACATTTGTATGTAACATACATGTGTCATTTAACACATAGGAAGTGAGTACCATGTAACTACACCCTCATCAAAAAAATTCAAAGTATTACTGGTGACTTAGTCTCTCAGAGCCGTTGTCTGACTGCAGTTCTCTCCCTCTATTCTATTTGCTATCACCACTTGCTTTCAAATTAGTTTTTAATTTTTTATTGTGTGTGCGTGGAGGGGTGGCACATGTTTGCCATGGTGCATGTGTGAAGTCATAGGACAACTCTGGCATTGGTTCTCTCCTTCTGTCTTTACCTACTGAGTTGCAGACAACTCAAGTTGTTAGGGTCGTGCAGCAAGCCCAAGCATTTCTACCTGCTGAGCCGTTTCACTGGCCCCTACAGCACACCTTTGTATAGCAATCATTTTCTTTTCTTTACAGCTTTTACTATATATATGTGTACCTACAGACATTTCCTAATATTTAAAAAAGCACACACTTTTTGTTATTGCTTGTTAAATTTGTCATTTATTCTATCATGAGTACTCTGTAGTTCGTTTTGCCATGGATATCTTCTGTTTGAGTTATTTCCAGTTTGGGTTGTTATGAAAAAATGCTGTGATGAGCATTTTTGCTTGTGTATCCTGCTGCATATGTGCACTGATTTCTGTAGACATGTATAAGTAGTGCAATTCTTTGGTCACAGGGAATGTATACTTTCAACTTTAATAAATTATGTCAAATTGATTTCCAAAATGGTTGTATCAATTTATAGCCAATGAATTTTCAACTATGAAAACATAATCAGAAAGTTGTCTTGCTCTCAGTATGTGGAAATTCCTATTATTGCCTGTTCTTGCCAACACTTTTTTTTAATTTGCCAGTTTTTTTGTATCTTATGATTAATAATCCTGATTTCTGGTGAGCTGAGTATCTTTCCAGGATTATGGCATTACTTTTGCCTTTGCATGTATGTTGGATACCAGCACAGTGTACCTACCCAATAATGAGTTTCATTTCTCCTAGTTGCAAGCTACAGAATTAATCTGGGACCACCTACTGGCAAAAAAGTTGATGCATTTGGAGTATATTGGAGCACAGTGTGCAGATTCTGAAGGAAATGCTATATACCTAGGTGTTCAGAAAGGCAGAACTGTGTAGCCCAAAGGAATTGGCAGCAGAGTCTCCAGGCCTGTGTAGTGAAGTGACTGTCTTGTTGCTCTCTCCCTGACTGGTTCACTTTGGCATAGGCAGCCACAAGCATAAGGCAGAAAACTGGAGAACTTAGCCACGGCTATGTTATGGCTCCTGGGGGATGTGGGCCATCAGGCAGGCCCTCAGTTTGTGACTTTTGCGAACACTTAGTGGAGGCAGGCAAGGAGCTTTGTGGACTGATTATTAGATGAGATAACAAGGACAAATGAAGGGTTTAAAGGAAGCATCTGTATTTTGAAGCAGAAGACCTGGCCAGAGAAAGAGACTTGCACACAGTCAGGGGATTGAGGTCTTCTAGGAGATGGAAAGATGTGACAAAAGGCTGTGCTTTCCACTCTTTCCTTAACCTCCAGTACATGGAGGAGTAGAACACTGAGAGTGAAGGGACATACTGTCGTCATGAGTCTGTGGATTTCAGGGTCTTCCTTCATTGTTTTTAATGTGCCCTTATTCATTTTTCCCTTCAGAATCATTGATTTCAAATTAAGTAAAATATTTGAATAGAAGAAGAGAATGTTTCATATGAAAACTTGACTAAAATAGAAAGATAGTAAATACTTAAAGATCAGGAACACTTAGACATCATGGCAATTACTGAGATGTCTTAACTACCTAAAAATTTGTGTTTAGATATTGTGTTAAGGATGATGTTTTTACAGTGAAAGGCTAAGCAGTTGTGGCAATGACCAGACAATTTCCTTTTGCACATAGCAATGCAAGGAAGGTAGTGTTGCTGTGCTCCATGTGTTTGTCCCAGGATCCAGGTTAGCCAGGCACCTCTGTTCTCCTTCACCTGCGGTGCTGCTGTTGCATCATTACAGGCAAAGAGCATAGAACTACATTCCTGAATGCAAGGCACACATCACTTACATTTGCTTACCTTCCCTTGGCTTAGGCACATGACTGTAGATGGTTACCAGTGTGGCTGTGAGATCTGCTCTTGGAGTTAGAAGAATATTAAACATTTCTAATTTATGTAAATAATTAAAATCTATCTAAAGGAAGAAAACTGAAAGATCAGTCCATTCACCAGAATTAATTTGCTGACTATGTTGTGAACTTACTGTTAAAATAATTATTAGGGAATAGGGAAGATAGAATAGGACCAAATGTAAATGAGTAATTGCTTTACTTTTTTATTTTAGCTTCCTTGTGGTCATAGATGCAAAGAGATGTGTCATCCTGGTGAATGTCCCTTTAATTGTAACCAGAAGGTAAAGCTTAGGTGCCCTTGTAAAAGAATAAAAAAGGTAAGCATTTTAAATGATTAAAAATTATTTTCTGTGTAAGTCAGTCCTGCCTGGTTTGATCCATGTGCGTTGGTAATTTTTTAATTTGTTTGGCTTTAATTTTAAAGTCTTATATCTTAGGATCTTTTCGTTATAATTAAACTGCCTAACTGTTTCTATAAGTGCTCATTTAAACAAATCAGCTTAGGCAGTTCAGTTTTCTATAACTTAATAGCCAAAGCAAGACTGTGTACTGTTTGATCAAGCCCAGTGCTCTTTTGTTGGCATAGAGTCAGTGTGCTCTGGGCTTGAAGCCTTTGAATGAGGACCACCTTGTCAGTGTTGAAGTGGGCTTCCTGGTTTAAGGGATGGCCTGGAATTAGGCTTTATTGCTCTTTTTATTGGAAGCTTTTTTATTTGCTACCAGTATTGCTCTTTGAAAACAATTTCTTGAAAAGACTCACAGCCTCAAAAATAAAATAATACCCAAACTTAGAAGATCGCAGGAAACAGTTAATGGAAGTGTAAACAACTGAAAGCCAATGGTTGGAAGAATCATTCAGTAAGTGAGGAAGGAACAGAGAACACCTCACTCAGGTCTCACTTTCTTTGACTTCTGATAGGCAATGTGAGCTTCTTAGACACTTTATTTGATTTTGACTCTAGTTTACCATATCATAGTTATGGTTGTAAATCCTTTTTCCTTTGTTATTATTGTGGTCATTCCCTAAACTAATTGGTTTCTCTTTAAATTAGTTCTTTTATTTATCCGTGCAAACAACATTTATTGAAATTCATTTATATGTTCCATAGTTCCCACTATATTTTTCTATAGTGGGCAACTTCATTATTTAAATTGACCACATTTATATGAAAGTATTTTGCCAAGCCATGTTTAATCTAATGTCTCTTAAGTTTTCTGAGATCTCATGTCTTGGCAAGTATATTTTTCTACCCATTAGTACTTACTCAGTGACACGCAGGCATGTTTTAGAAGAATTTTCATATAACTTTTAAATATTACTTAAGAAAAAAATTAAAAAATATTAATAGTTGAACGAAAGATACAGTTCTTCCGATGGCCACTGTGTGGGACAGCAGTCAGAATTAGAGGTGCTTGTCCTTTAATGACTTAAGATGGAATAATATTAAAGATTTGGCTCCTTGAGTACACTAGTCATACTTTAGTGCTCAGATGGCATAGATTTTGTTTAACTAGATGGTGCACATGTAGAACATTAGAAAACTCTGTTGGACAGAACTGTTCTAGAACATTCCGTCCCTGGTAGCTTTAGAAGAATGACAAGATTTGATAAAAATAAAGGATGAAAATAAAATTCAGCTAAGTTGATAGTGGCATACAATAAGTCATGAAGTTGATTATTTTAATTTTATGGCATTCATTATTTCAATTAAGAGAGAATAAAGGGGGATTGGAGAGCTGGCTGAGCTGTTAAGAGCATGTAGAGGACCCAGGGTCAGTTCCCAGTACCCATATCAGGTGCCTCACAACTGCCTGTATTTCCAGCACCAGTGAGATCTGACACCCTCATCTAGCCTCTGTGGGCATTGCCCCCATGAGAACACACCCACACACAAATACACACATACAGTTTTTTTTTTTTTCAATCTTTAAAAAACAAAGAGATAAAGGAATAATTATTTGAACAAAGATATCTAATGATTGCAACCATATGTCATCACCAAACATTAATGAATGTTACACATATTTATAACCTTCAGCTGTTATGTAAATGTTGCTTCTATATGGCACCCAGTTGTGAATTTGAAAGGAAGATCATCTAAAATTGTAAATTTGGGTTATTTGTAGGAATTGCAATGCAGTAAAGTACGTGAAAATCAAGTTTCAGTGGAATGTGATACAACATGCAAGGAAATGAAGCGGAAAGCATCTGAGGTAAGTCTCACTTGATGTCATTAATGTGCTAATGGCCGTTCTCTGCTATTTGTTCCATTTCTGTGTGCTTGTTAAAACAATTTGAAATTTCACATTTGTGCTTTTGTTACAAAAGACTAATTTTATAGGCTTATTTTGAAACCAAGGTATACTTTTTATTGAGCAGTGTGGAGCTAAGCTCTCTGTCCTTCATGCCAGTCAGTATGTTTGCTCAGGCCCATGGCCATTTGTTTTAATGATAGTATTAGCCTCCTGAAACTTAGGCTAAAATAATACAAAAATAAGATTTTGGGATTCTTTGCAGCTTGAGATGCCTTTAGTGTTGATTCCCTCTGCCAAACAAATCACTGAAAAAAAATTTGATTTTGTTTGATTCAAGGGCTTGTCTTCCAGATAGAGTATTTGAAATAAACGATCAGTGTCAATTCTAGGAAATGTGATATTTAATAATTGATTCTAGATTCTTAATATGGTAACTTAAGAGCAAAACATTATTAAAGCATTTCCATTTACAATTTTAATGGCTTGAATTGTGATCCAACATCTCATGTAGCTGGTAAGAAGAAATGTTTATTTAAATTACAGCACTCTATCCATCACCCTCCTAAATCTATTAGATGGTACCTTGGTAAAACCTCCCAGTGTATACTTATATTTCATTAAATGCTTTCTAATAAAAGGCTCCCGAAAATTGCTACGGATTAGTAGCGCCTGAGTGGAAAGATGCTAAAAGTCTATATAAAATTTAATAATTAAGTGTTAATTTACTTTTAAATGTGAATAAACAGATAAAGGAAGCAGAAGCCAAAGCTGCTTTGGAAGAGGAAAAACGAAGACAACAGGTAACTAAAGAAAATAGATTTATGTCCTTTCCTATTGTTGTGTTTGTGGAAACATGAGGCACCAAGTCTATCCTGCTGCCCATGGGACTGAGGAGCACTATGAATGTAGCCCAGCACAAAATTGTAAATGTACTTAGAACAGTGGAGGATATTTCTGTGAATTTTTACTTAACTATGTAGTTCTTGAACACATGACAGTATCATTTGTCAGTGTGAAAGAGTCTTCAGACCTAGGCCATACACAAACTAGGGAGCTCAGCTCTTTTCTGAAGTGAAAATAACATAGTTCCTACAAAACAAATTAACCCATTTACTTCACGTGTACTGAAGCTCTGAGAAGGCACGACGAGATCTTGCATCTTCTCAAGTATTTACTTCTTTGCCAATTTTGTTCATTTTCCAGCCAGAAGGGTTTTAACTATTCTTTTGATGGGGGATAAGTACTTGGGTTCTTTTTTTTGTTTTTTTTTCTGAGTTGCATTTCACCAACTCAGAGAAAGAAAGAAATAGTTTAATAATATATTTGTTTTAGTATTTTCCCTATTAGATCATTAAATGTAAGGCTATTACCTGTTTTTTGTTGTTGTTGTTTGTTTGTTTGTTTGGGTTTTTTGTTTTTTGAGACAGGGTCTTACTATATAGTCCCACCTGAATTGGAACTCCCTACATAGATAAGGCTGGCCTCAATCTCACAGAGATCTGCCTATCTCAACCCCCAGAGTGCTGGGATTGAAGGTGTGTGCCTATCTCAACCCCCAGAGTGCTGGGATTGAAGGTGTGTGCCACCACACCCAGCTCTGTCATCTCTTTTTACAAATAATCCTATGCTCCAAACACTCCAAAAAGTGGCTTAACTTTGTTATGAAACTTTGTGCTTATCAGTTTGCTTTGTGAGAAGCCTTATGCTTATCAAATAAGGTGTTTTATATACTAAACTACTAACTTTATGAATCAGGGTATCAAAACTATATGACTTGGAGGATATTAGAAAACTTTTCATGTCTCCCTGTAGCCCCAGCTGGCCTTGAACTCACAGAGATCCGCCCACCTCTGCCTCCCAGGTGCTGCGATTAAAGGCATGTGCCACCACACCTGGCTTAATCTCTAATATTTTATCATTCTATAGAGTTGGTTTGCCAGATAGCCTCAAAATAAGTTATTAGGACTCAATATAGTAAAATACAAGTTGGCTTGAATCCTGGAAAATTATATTATTAAGAATCATATAGGTGGGGCTAGAGAGATGGCTCAGCAGTTAAGACCATTGACTGCTCTTGCAGAGGACCTGGGTTCAATTCCCAGCACCCACATGGCAGTTAACAACTCTCCAGTTCCAGGGGATCTGATGCCCTCTTCTGACCTCTGTGGGCATTGCACAACACAAGTGCACTTGCATATTTATTATTTATTTTTGGTCTTTTTGAGACAGGGTTTCCCTGTAGCCCCAGCTGGCCTGGAACTCACTATGTAGACCAGGCTGGCCTTGAACTGACAGAGATCCACCTGACTCTGCCTCTGCCTCCCAAGTACTGGGACTACAGGCATGTACCACCACGCCTGACTAAAAAGATTTATTTTAATATTTATTTATTTATTTATTTATTATTTATTTTTGGTCTTTTTGAGACAGGGTTTCCCTGTAGCCCCAGCTGGCCTGGAGCTCACTATGTAGACCAGGCTGGCCTTGAACTTATAGAGATCCCCCTGCCTCTGCAAGGCATGCGCCACCACGCCCAGCTTCCTAAACCTACCATATTTTAATGAACCATCATAGATGAATGTCTTAAATATATTCTCTGTTACTGACACTTTAAATAGAAGAGAGGACACAATGCTTACTTGATGACCTTGGTAATTATTACTATGTCAGTGGTCCTCAAGTTTGATTGCTCTTAAGATATTTTGATTTTGTTTCATATATATCAACAGTTTCTTGATATATTCTAATTTTTGGCTCACTGACAAATGATATTTTATATTAAACTAAATACACTGATCATGTTTAAGTGTGGTTAATGATTACAATAATGGTTATGCTAGCTGAAATTTATATTTTATCAACTAAAGTACCGTGTGTGGATATTACATATTTATTTTAGCTAATAGCCATCATGTTTTAGTCAATAACTATGTGCTATAGTGTATTGTATTTATCATGCATAAAAGTTTAATAAGTAATAAGCTTTCCAGGGTAATAAAACCCACATGTGATCATGACTTATAACCTATGTTACCTTCTTAGAATCAGTTTTTAATTCTAACTAAAATAATCATTTGCATTAAAATGTGAAGCATTTTTTCCTTTGAAGAATTTTTACTGTATCTTTTCACAAAAGTATTTGATGATAAAGAAAAGAATCTTTACTCATTTGGATTTCTGTGCTCTACGCCATTAATACTTATGACCTGAGTTACAGAAAAGCTAAAGTTAGGGTATCTGTATTCTCACTGGGCATGTCTTGAGCACTCACAAGAAGCTGCTGTGTGGTATAATGGTGTTAAAAGAAGGGCAGCTGCTGTCCCCGTAGAGTCCCCTTGGGTTAGACACTGAAATATTTAGTGTCAGTGACAGGCGTACAGGCTGAATAATCACTGTTATTCTTTAATTCTCTGTCTGCTTTCCTAAATGCAGAATATGTTGAATGCAGTCACAGGACAGTTTTTTCTTTTAACCAAATTAATGTATTTATTTTATACTGTTACTATTAAAACACTTCCCAAGTTGGTTTATTTTCATTGAAATGGAAAGTTTCAAACCATTGTATTCATTGAATTTAATACAAATAAAACTTTTTGCTTTAGGCTGAACTGGAGGCTTTTGAAAACCGACTGAAAGGTCGTCGGAAGAAGACCAGGAGAAGAGATGAAGTGGCAGTCGAGCTGTCACTGTGGCAAAAGTACAAGTTCTACCTCCTCCCACTGTGTGGGGTTGCGGTGGCTGCGCTTGCATGGTACATTGCCCATGGTGTGGATTAATTTTTTTTTTTATCTTTTAATATACCTCATTGGAGTTAGGTAATGTTAATTTTGAAATACTGGAAAATGTAGCTTGTCAAACAGGATGCACATTCACAGTCCTCTGTGTCCTTGTTGGGACAGAGCATTAAGCTCTGTCTTAATTAGTGTAGTCAGCCTGGCCGTGGAGTACTGTCTGACGTGAAAGCACGACTAAAGTTGTACAGTGTTCCAAAGGCTTTGCTGCTGGAAGAGTTACATGCTTGGTGTTGTGCTTCCTTGTATTGACTTATTTGTCTCATTTAGTATTTCCATGTCCAACACTTTTCCCTTTTGTAAATTCAGATAAAATTGAGCCATATGTGCAGCAAGAGGAATTATTTCTCTATTTTTTGGGTTACTTATAGTGTACTTTTCTTGATCAAGTAACTTTGTACTTAAAGATTCTCTAAAAGACCTCTTAAATTCTAATATGACTCCTTATAATTAGATTCCAGATGTTAGTTTATTAGACAGGAATTTTTATTGGTCATTGAAACAAATTTCACACAGCATATTCCTCAGAAAACATATCTGTTTTCAACAAATGACAGACTAGGTTACTTACAGGAGGCTGTTTTTCTGTGCAAGAAGCTTTTAACTGAAGTTGTCATGTTTTGTAAAACTTGTATCTTTTTAAAATAATAAAAGGAAAACTAATATTTATGAGCCATGTGTGCTGAGCACAGGGCTCATGAGCATTATGTACTTGATTTTCATTTTTCTTTGCCATGATCCCAAATAGATTACAGCTGGGAATAATCATTTCTTAGTAAAACAAACCAATATAGAAATGTCAGTAAACAAAATTGGGTAGAATTATAAGTCATTTAAAATAATTTTGCTATTTAAATTTTATATCAGTTTTGATTAAAAATTTTCATATAATACTTGTAGAATATTTACTGTTATTTAAAATATTCAGGAACTTAAGATTTTAGGCATTAGCATTATGTGTAAAACTCTAGTGTTTGATGTAGAACACAGAAGCTGATAGGCATTAAAACTTATATAATTAAGAAGTGATAGATGTGCATTTCAATTTTTTTAAATTTTTTTTTGTGTATTTCATACAGAACATTTCAAACAATCTTAATCATCTTTATACCCCTATCCCCACTGGTACCCTTCCAAAGCTCCCCCGCCAAGCTCATATTCTCTGTCATCCATGTGTGTCAGCCCACTGTGTTGTTAGTTTTTAAAAATTTATGTGTATGAGTGTTGTTTTACCTGCATGTATGTATGTAAGTGTACCCTTGCATGCAATGCCTGCAGAGGTCAGAAGAGGGGGGCTGATGCCCTATAACTGGAGTTAAGGATGGTTGTTAGCTGCCATGTGGGTGCTGGGGAACTAAACCTGGGCCTTCTGTAAGAGCAGCCAGTGCCCTTAACTGCTGAGCCATCTCTCCAGCCCCCTAGAATGTACATTTTGGACAGGACTCCAAAGGAAGATTATAAAATTTGCTGGGTTTAACTGAAAAAAAAAAAAAAAAAAGAAACCCATATTGTATTGTTTACCAAGTATTAGCTGGTACCTAGAATTAAAGGAAAGTCATTCCTTCCTTGATGAGCTTTATGTTTGATTTTAATTTTCTTTTTCTTGTAGTCCCAGCTGGCCTGGAACTCACTGTGTAGACCACATTGGCCTTGATCTCGAAGAGATCTACCTGCCTCTGCCTTCCCAGTGCTGGGATTAAAGGTATGCACCACCACACTTTCTCCAAAGTTGAATTAGTGGGTTAGTGTTTTAGAAGCTAAGTCAGATCTGTTGCACCTGATCTAAGTGAACACATAGCTTAAGGGAAGTGCTTTCATCTGTTTCAGAACCTTGACCCATTAAACAAATCTGAAGGGACTGCTCATGACAAGCGTTTATTTGGCTTCTGTCCTTGCTAAGTCATTGTCCCCACTTCCCTCCTGCCCCCATGTTGTGTTGTGGGGGAATTTATTTATTATTTATTTATTTATTTATTTATTTATTTATTTATTTATTTATTTGCCTAGCTGAGTGCTTATTTTACCCCAAATTATAAAGCTATTTATTTAATCAAATTCCTTTATGACAGGAACAGGAGGGGTACTTTCTGTCAGGTTATTAGGAGCAAAAGATAACCCACACGAGAATGAGTATGATTTCATGTGATAAGTGGTGTGAAAAAAAAAAAATAAGAAATGGCCGGGCATGGTGGTGCACGCCTTTAATCCCAGCACTCAGGAGGCAGAGGCAGGCAGATCTTTGTGAGCTCAAGGCCAGCCTGGTCTACATAGTGAGCTTCAGGACAGCTGGGGCTACTGGGAGACCCTGTCTCAAAGAGACCAAAAAAAAAGAAATGGTGTGGAAAGTAGTAGTAAAGGATGGAGGAGCACCCTTAGAGGGATGTTTTAACTGTGACCTGGATGACGCCCATCTGAAGACTGAGGGAGAAGTCTATGATAAAGTGAAAAATACAAAGCCCCTAAGTTTGGAAGACTGTTGGCGGCTGAGGATCAGAAACAAGGGCTACCGAAAAGGGACATGACATGTATGTTAAATTTTAATAGAAAGGGGGCAGTACTCCAGGCTAGTTCTTCTGGTGGAGGATAGGCCACAGTTAGGATTTGGGCTTTTTTCCTGTTGGAATGGACAGCATTGAAAAGTTTTAAACAGGGAAGAGAGTTGGGCTTTGATTTTGCCATTACTGACTGCTGTGAGGAGCGAAGATTGCAAGGGGGCAGGTCGAGGGGAAAGACAGGGAGGCGATGAATCCAGCAGTCGAGGCTGCAAGCAATGGGATTGTGATTCAGTGATGTGGGACTTTCACTTCCACGGCCTCGCCACTGACCTGAGTTACTGGCATGAAGACGCTGCAGAAGCTGCTGCCTGAGAAGTGGATGCAGCACTAGGAAGAGAGAAGTGAGTGCCTTCTCCCAAAGTCGAAGTGAGGTTCTGTCTAAACACTCTCTGGGGGAAAGCAGTGACTGCCTGGATTGCAAATTGAGCCAGTTAAAGAAGGAATGGGGAGAGTTAAGTAGATAGTCCTCTAAGAATTGCATAGGTAAAATTGTGAATGTGATGGTCTTATTTTTCTACTTGTGACATTAACACAATGTAAAAATGGTGTTGTGTTTATTATTTGAAATTCATGGAATATTTATATTGACATCTTTGAGGGTTTTCAGTTTAAACACTCCTGTCTCCGAATACCAGTTGTATTTATTACTTTTCATTGTTCACATCTAAATTAAATTTAAACTCAAATTGGTGTTAATGAAATTAGCAAAGCAACTTTATTGAAGTACAACAATGAATATTTTTGCCCCTTTTTATTTTATTTTTTGTTGAGACAGGGCCTCTCAGTAGCCCCAGCTGTTGTGGAGCTCACTAAGTACACCAGGCTGGCCTTGGAGATCCTCCTGCCTCTCCCTCCCAAGTGCTGGGATTAGAGGCGTGTGCCACTATACCTGGCTATATTTTCTTTTTATAAAGAAGTTTTTAATGCTTGAATTTCATGGCTGTCAGTGCTAAGAATTTTAAACACAGGTAAGTCTTCTCTGGTAGTGTTTAGAAATGACCTAGAAGAATTTTAAAGTATTCCATTTACTTTCAAGAAATATTTCTTTGATATAGATACAACCATGCCCATCTGTCTTGTTTTTTTTTTTTTTTGATTCAACACCCATGGAATCCTTTGTTCTTCTCGGTCACTGGTAGAGTGAATAGGAGACTTCACCCTCACTGTGTGCATAATCTGAGTTCATCCACTAAGCGGACAACAAAGGAGTGAGCCAGGTTAAGAGCAGTAGGTAAAATGGCCACCCTTGTGAGAGATGAGCTCACGGTCAGGGCTTCAGGCCTTGGGGGGTTTGGCCTAATTCAGCCTTTATAATCAACATTATTGAAACATTGGACAGTAGTTACATGAGACTCATACCAGCACCCAGGAGGCTGAGGTTGGAGGGTTGTGAGTTTCAGACCAGCCTGGGCTACAAAGCAAAATCCTGTCTGAAGATAAACAAACATTAGAGGTGCAACAGGAGCCAACATTTCTGTGGCTGGATATAGGGTAGTAAAGTGAAAGGATCTTAAAGAGGAAAACTCGGTGACTGCTGCTGTTAGTCTCCTATCCCTGGGATTGGGAAGTGAGGCAGATGGCTAAGCCCAAGAGCTCAAGTTGACATAACTGTCTCCTCTGATTTACGGATGTTGCCTTCTACTGAGTGCCAGTAATTGGACCACCTAACCATGGGCCTTGGGTCCTTGTCACTGAGGAGCTTCATGGACTGAGAAAGAACTAGAGTACTGGTTACTACCTCCTGGAAGAGAGGAATTTGGGAGAAATGGGCAAAATTGGGAAACCCCTCTGATTTTGAGAGACACTTAAGAGGGGAAAAAATACTCATCTTGGAAGCCATTTATATATATATTCTTGCTATATTGAATAAGTTCAGTTCTTTAAAAATATTTTATTTTTATTTTATGTGTATGCATGTATTGCCTGCATGTAGGTAAGTTGCACTCGTGTCGTGCAATGCCTGCGGAGGTCAGAAGAGGCTGTCGGATCCCCTGGGACTGGAGTTATGGACAGTTGTTAGCTGCCATGTGGGTGCTGGGATTCAAACCCGGGTCTTCTGCAAGAACAACCAGTGTTCTTAACTGCTGAGCCATCTCTCCAGCCCTGAATAAGTTCAGTTTTATTGTTTGCTGAGCTTTTTTTTTCCCAAAGTGTTCCTTCTACTTAGACTTGGGGCTTGTATTGAAATGGTGACATAAAAAAACTAAAGAGCAGCACAAAATTCCACAATCTAGATTCATTGCAGTTAAAGTAGCCCTGGAGAGAGATGCCCTAACTACCCCATCTGGTCACCCTCGATTGTGCATTTCCCCCCCATATTTGTGTTATGTATTATCTACCCCCTTCACTAGAATGTAAGTTCCAGGGGGACAGTTTTGTACTATCCCATTTCACTGCTCAGTACTTGAATGAGTCTGTACTGTGTGATCAAGTGAACAGTTGGTCATTTTCAGAAGCATCATCCTTAACAATTAATGCTGCATATGGGGTTGAGATGAGTTTGTGGTCGCAGAGTGCTTGGGCTCCAGTTATGCTGCTCTTCCTAGCTGTGAGGTCTGAAGCAAGCTGCTTGCCTTGTGCAATACAGCAAAATTGTAAAGTGGTGGGAATGAAAGCTAATAGAGTGCTTTTCCCAGTAAGTTTTAGCTATTGTTTCTGCAACTCTTAAAATGTTTCATATTTCTCAGTCTTATGAAATAACTGCTAATTTTACAGTAGCAGAAACTAGATTTGTTTCAAGGACTAAACACAGAAACTGTATGTGCCATTGTGAGTTACCTGGCAGAGTGCTCAAAAAGTCCTAACTAGTGTAGATGAGTGTGACTTAATTCATGAACCTTTAACACTTACCTTGTAAATGGATTCACACATCAGAACAACACAAACCTGTGAACCTAGTTATCTCATTTGATGCTTATCCCTGGAGGAGTAGGGCAGATGCTGGCCAAAGGTGGGTGCAGTTAGGCAGTGAGATCACCACAGGAAGCCCCTAAATGGCACTAAGTGGTGTGAGTGTGCTCAGAGCAAAATCCTCTGCAACTCCCTGAGTCAGCTCCTCCTACCTTTGTCCAGTGTCTACTGTGTGTGTCAGGAGGAGGCTGTGCCAGCAGTATTAGAGTGCAGCCGACCACACCACACCTCTGATCACACACAATGTTTCACTGTGGTAGATTATGGTAGGTCTGGCTAGGTTTTCCTGTCTTAAACTGGTCCCTTTGAAATGGGTAAAATTCTAGTTTGCCTGTTTCTGGTTCTGTTCTTTAAGGTTTTGCATTTTTGTATCAGCTAAAAATATACTTATTCCTTAATGTCCTTCCTATGCTAATTGCAAATATAGTTTACATACGTGTGTGTGTGTTCATTTGATGTATTTGTTCCACGAAACTGAATGTTCTGCAAAGGCATGAACTTCATTTTGTTCGTTTGACAGCTTCAGACTTTTAGGTGAGTAGAGCACATTGTCCAGGAGATACACAGTGGGGTTGTGTATCTGTTTTAGCCTCTGCTTGCCCATTGTGCTGGTGTGCCGACTAAGAAATCTTTTTATTGTTCTCAGATTGCCCTCATCCTTAGCACTAAAGGCTAATTTGGTCTGTAATTATGACATGTGGCCAACTTTGCTCTGTAAAATCACTCTGTCTAGAGGCATATTCAGTACCATTCCATTGATTTCCCATAAGTCTCTTTAATCTTGTGTTTTTCTTTTGAATTATGCAACTAGTTTGATATATGTCTGTAATGGTAGACAATAAAACTTTCAAAATACCAGAAATGTTTCCTTTTATAAAATTAAAAGTATTTTAAGATTTAGACAATGATTACCACTTTACAATAAACTGAACAATTGGGGATTGATTTGGCTCAAAGGTCTTGCCTAGTAAGGCAGAAATCACAGCACCAAATAAAATAAGTTGTACAAATGTGGCAAATGTTTTTTAAAGGAATAATTCAAAGTCACTAAAAATCACTCTGAGCACCCTGAATATTTAAATTAATTTGAATATGACATACTTTTAATTCTTTACTGTGGTGTTTTGAATGAGAATGTCTCTCATAGGCTCCAAGTATTTGAACACTTGGTCCCCAGTTCGTGGTGCTGTTTGGGGAGGGTCATGGAACCTTTAGGAGGTGTGGGCATGCTGGAGGAAGCATGTCACTGGGGGCAGACTTTGAGAGTTCTTAAGCCTTGCTGAATTTCCAGTTTTGCTTTGTGTCCCATGCCTGCTTGAAGATGTGAATGCTCAGCTTTCTGCTCTGACCACCTCTGCCTCCATGCCTTCCTGACATGATGGACTCTCCTTCTGAAGCCATAAGCTAAATAAACCCTTCCTTCTATAAGCCTGGGTCATGCTGTTTTGTCACAGCAGTAGCAAAGTAACTGATAGATTATAAAAGGTCAGTACACAGAGTATAGACATAGATGTTCACCTTCATTTTTTATATCATTCCCTACTATCTGCAAAGAATACCTCAGGTACTTTTTTTTGATGCCCACAGTAACTAGAGCTGTTGACATTTAAGGAACACTTTATCAATGCAATCAGTCTTAGTTCCCTAAGGACCACAACAATAGACGAGCAAGGCAGTCCTGTCTACCCTGGCTATCTCCAATCTGCTTAGCTACTATAATTTCATATTTTCCCCAGCACCTCCACCAGAGGGCAGAAAGTAGAAAAGAAAGGGGATGAACTAGGAATCCATCTACAAGTTCAGAATGCTTGTGGAATCCAACCAGTGCTAATTTCACAGACTGAGTTAACCGTGGCCCTCAAGGTGGACCTGGCAGATGTATCTCCTGTGCTCATGGTTCCCAGTGGGTGCCTGTGGCTGATGGTGTGTGATGAGGCAGTATCTTAGTTTGAGCCCGTTATGAAATGCCACTTCTTGGGAATCCCAGGGCAGCCATCTTCTAGTTGAATAACCTTAGGCTAGGTTACCTGAGCCACAATTTGCCTTTCATCTCTAGAACTGAAAGAGTTCATGTAAAGTGCATAGTACCAAGCCTGCCGTTCAAATGCCTGGTCTCATGAATTCAGGTTGTTAGAATCTGACTTGCTCACCTGATGTTAGAATAACATGAAATCAGTGTTCTGACTGTTCATACGATATTTTCTACATTTCATTTTTGAGAAAGTACCAGTTACCATCCCTCTCCCACATGTACAAAGGTGTACCTTTGAACAAGCAATGATATTCACAGGGCAGGTGACATATTCTGTTGAGTGTGTGGCCTCTAAGGGAGATGGATTTATTCAATATAATTTCTTGAGTAACTTGAAAATTTTAAGATCTTGACTGACATTGGATTAAAAATAGTTGCCAAGAAAATCTTAATGGAGTCTTTGTTCTTGTCTTGGGTTTCAAGCGGTGTAGCAATCTTTGCAGTGAATGTATCCAGTGCCCTCCCTGCCTGCCCAAGGAAAGTGGCTGCTGATGAATGACAGAAAGGCAGGGATTTGCTTACTCCTTACTTCAACCTGTGGGTGCTCTTGGCAGGAAATCTCAGGGTTTGGGATCACAGGCTGGGGTTCTTCCCTATCCACAAGCCTGAGGAGCAACTTGGGCAGTCTTGCAAAAAAGCAGTTTCTTCAGTAAACTTGTAACAGAAGGCAGACTTGCAATTTGCTTAATGCAAATAATGTTTGCCTTCAGACCTTAAATCTTCAAAGATAACAAACTAGGCGTTGAATTGCCAGTGCCGGCAGGCAGTCATTTGGTACTTTCAGGCTGAAAGAAAAATGGTCTAGGGTTTGATAAAGGGAATTTGGAGAAAAGCAGTGGTTTTCGTTCACATCATTCAGTATCAAAGTCCTGTCCTTTGCTGCTCCAGGCCTGGAGTAGAAGGGGTTTTCTGTTTTGTTTTGGGGTGTGGGCGCAGCCGACTCTTGGCTTTCTGTCTGCCTTAGGAGAATATCTTCTTTGGAGGTGGGGGTGGGTATGGAGAATGTGTCATTGAGGGTTATGGGTAGGACCCAGGGACGTGAGTAAAGGGAGGGAGTGGTCTGCCGGTGGGGTCTGCCCAGCAGACAAAATATGGGGCTCCCATCCCCTGAAGTACAACTTCTCTCTGAGTGAGGAGAAAAGCATCCGTAGTGCCTCTCCCAGGGACCCACAGCGCAGAGAAAATCGACCAAGATAAGAGTGAACAGAGGAAAAAAGATGTTCACGAAACCCCCTGCCCTTGCTCCGGACGAGCGCAGCAGCCGAGCTGGCGCTCCAAAGCGGGTAAGCTCCACAGTCCGCGCTTCTCCCGCGCGCACACACAAGTGGCGTAGTCCGAGTCCTGGTGACTTCAGGGTCAACCTTCCCATCCCGTCCCTTCCTCCCTCCATGCCCAGGGTGCCACCTGCTTCCTGTCCGTTGGTCGGTGAGCACTGACTTCGCGGTGCGGGCTCAGGACCCTGCAGCGGGTCCCCTGGCGTCAGGTCCTCCACTCTGGACGCTTACAGGGTCATGGGCAGGGTTTCCTTCAGCGTCCGAGTCAGCTCGGTGCGGAGAGCCGGTTGCTCTTGTCCCGGGCGCTGCTACCTGTCCTGCAGAGTTCCGCAGGGCGCCCTCCACGCACCGAGTGGCCTCGAGCGCTCGCGGGCGGCTGGGGAGACTGCAGGTGGAGCGGTCGGACCCGGCCCCTCTGGGACCCGCGGCTTCCTCTCCCGGCCCTCGTTCCAGGCACCTGGCAGCTGGAAGGATTGCATCGCAGCCCTGCCTGCCCCAGACGTAAGCCTCCCGTCCCTACTGCGCACGTCCCAATACTGCTCGAACCTTGTCTGTCCCTCCTGCAGTGGCCAGGACAAGCGCCCCTCTATAGGGACCAACCCAGGATTATCCTAAGCGTTGGCATCCAAAACCCCCTGGCTGGAAGTGTTAAGAACTCCTGGGTCCCTCGCATGCAAACTTTCTCTGTCGGGGCACTAGGGCGCTGGCCGCTGGTGGAGGGGCGCAGCTCCTAGGCTTTGGCGGGTTTCCATCCAGTCCTGGGAAGGGGTGCCGCGCTGCACTTGCACTTTCTGGAGCTGAAAGGAAGCGAGGGCACCGCGGAGGGTCCCCATGGCCTGTGCCTTGGGGAGACCAGTCTATTTTGCAGTCGTCCTTGCCTGTGCCCTGTCGCGTCCTTAGGGCCCCGGAATTAGGGGCCACCTCAAGGGTCCCAAGCTGTGCAGGGGGACGGTCACGTCTGGGTCCTGCGGGAAGAGAGAGGCCCCGCTGGATTCCTATGGAACTCAGTGCCGGCTCCCGAGGGGCGGCTGTTCCCTGGTGCCAGCCTCAGGAGGCCTCAGGATGGCACTGTGGGCGCTCAGCTCCTGGTGGCTTCTCAGTCCTGGGACACGTCCAGGCGCTGTTTACAGCTCCCCAGAGAGAGAGCAGTCCCAGCAATTCGGAGCTGCTTCACTCATACAGAAACTCCAAGAGCAGTGCGCTGCGAAGACCTCCAGTGTAAGACTTTTCGCACAACTGTGCTTTACAGTTATAATTTTGTTTCTAGGATTGGAAGGAATTTACTGATGGAAATGAAAATCTGCAAAAGAGCAGCGGGACTGCTAACAGAGAGGGAGCCAAACCAGAATTTACTGGTGATTATTGTTCAACGACACATTTTGCTGGAAACTTTTAAGTTAGAGGCACTGCAAAACAAAACATTAATTCTGGCAAATGCCCCAAAGAACAACAAACCAGGCTTTTCGTGTTTGTATGTCAGTCCCAGTACCACCAACTACCACCAACATTCACTACCTTCCTGGTCCCCAGTAATTTTATGTGAAGTTGATCTCTAAATCAGTCACCAAAACCAGGTTTCTGGGTCTTGAAAGCTTCAATGAGATGTCTTTGAAGACAGCCTGGGTACTCATAGGATCTGCCTAGATTCCATCCCAGGAAACCAAGTGTTTCACTGATATGATCTATTTTTAGAGTGACTTGGACAGGGAGTAGCCTAAACCTTAAGATAATGTAAGGCTTTTTTAGGGAATGGGTTCATTCTAGAATATTCTTTGTAGGATAGAATTACTGTATAAATGATTTAAGCCCAAGTTAGCCTTCCAGTAGGTTAAAGAGACACAGGGAGAACTGCTTTATTAATCTCCTCAAGTGTATTTCCAAGAATAATGAAACTTTTTAAAAAGATACAGAATTGATTCCATCATAAACTTTCCTCTTAATGTTGCAGAACTCTTGGGGACAGCAGAGCAGGCCTAAGGGCTCTGCATCTTGCCATACTGGCAAGACAAGAGGGTAGGGTGGGAGGCGCTGACATGACCTTCAGAGTTAAACCCAGGAAGAACAGGGCTGGGAGGCCAAGAGGTGCACGTAAGGTAAGCAGTGCTGGCCATACTGTGTCTGGGTGGCTATTATCTCAGCACAGTTCTTTAAGGCACCCAGCCCCCTTTGCCCCTTCCACTTCACCCAGCCAAATGGAAAACCACACTTATTGGCTAAAGGATACTGGCCAAAGTTCTACGTCCCTAACAAGTAGTCAGGTAACCCTAGACTAACTTCTTCCTTAACATCTTAAAATCTTTCTTTCTTTCTTCCTTTCTCTCTCTCTCTCTCTCTCTCTCTCTCTCTCTCTCTTTCTCTCTCTCTCTCTCTCTCCCCCCCCTATCTATTCTGAGGGCGCACATTTCTCTCTCTCTCTCTCTCTCTTTCTCTCTCTCTCTCTCTCTCCCCCCCCATTCTATTCTGAGGGTGCAAATGGAGGAAATCTCAGTGAAATATGCCAGTGATGGCATGCCATAGTAGGAAGGCCACAGGCTGGGTATCAGAACTTCAGTTCTAGTCTTTAAAAGCAGCCAGACTCTGGGTAAGTTACATCATCTTGCCGGGTGTTTCCTTCATCAGAGGGAATAGAACCATTGACCACCTGTAAGGACACCATGTGCATGAAGGAAATAAATATGTATCAGAAGCACTATGTACAATAGTTGGTGCATTCTATGAAGCCTCCATAACCATTAAAAAACCCTTCACTGAGATCTTTATGTGCAAAACCCTGTACATATTTAATATATACAATGTGACTTTGAAATAATATGTCCCTGAAGCCATCACCACAATTAATCCCACGAATATACCCATCACTGCCGAAAGTTTCCTTCTGCACTCTTCATTATTGATTTGCTGGGCATGGTGGTGGTACATGCCTTTAACCCCAGCATTCAGGAGGCAGAGGTAGACAGATCTCTTTGAGATCAAGGCCAGCCTGGTCTACATAGCAAGTTGTAGGCTAGCAGGGGCAACAGGGAGACCTTGTCCCAAAAAGCAAAAACCAACCAACTAACCAAATAATGTTTAGGATTAGATCTACTCTCTTAGCAGGATTGTAATGTATAATATATTACTGTCAACTTTAAGGACTATGCTATGCGTTACTCTGGGGCTTAGTCATTTCACAATACTTCCATTTGTGAGTCTTTTTCCAAATACCTTCCCATGTGTCTTCTCCCACCCATTCTACTGTTTTCTGATATGATTTGACATAGTGGGATCACAAAGTATGTCTGCCTCTGTGTCTGGTTTATTTATTTCATTTAGTGTAGCATCCCCTGGGTACATCCATCTCGTTACATACAGATGGGTCATATAACAGTTCTAGCTTTCATTTTATAAAGACCCTTCCTGCTACTCGACAGAAGGGCTGCACTGGCTTGCATTCTTGCCATCAGTATACAACGGTTTCCCCTGGTTTTCTCCATATCTAGCACTTTAAAAAAATCTTTTGCTTGGGGATAATAGCCATTCTAAGAAGTATGAGATATTATTTTATTGTGTTTTTTTATTTGCATCTAATTAGAGGAGTTGAGCAAGTTTCATATACCTACTGACCATTTGTGTGATTCCATTGGAAAAACGTCTGAGTCTTTGACTTATTTGAAACATCAGGTTAATATTTATTTATTTACTCATTTTTGCTATTGGGTTATTGGAGTTCCTTGTGAAGATACTAACCGTTTATTAGATGTATGATTTGCGAACATTTGCTCCATCGTATAGCTGACTTTTTACTTTCTTGATTGTTTACAGTACAGAAACCTCTTACTCTGCTGTAATCCTAGTATCAGCTATTGCTTTGTTACCTATATTCTTAATGTTATAGCCAATAAATTATCCAAGCATCCTATGCTGAGCAGTGTTTCCCATTTCCTCAAGGAGGCTTATGTTTTGAGGTCTTTATGTCTTTAATCTATTTTTATTTGTTTTTCTGTATGGTGTGAAAATAAAGGCCCAATGTTATTCTTTTGTATATGAGTGACCAGTTTTTCCAACACCATCTATTGGAGAGGCTATATTTTCCCCACTGTATATTCTTGGCATCCTTGTCAAAGATCGGATGACCCTAAGTGTATGGGTTTACTTCTAGGATCAGTACTTTTCTGACTCAGGTCTGTTTTTACACCAGAGCTATATTGTTTTGATTGCTGTAGCTTTGTCCTATAATTCGAAGTCAGGAAATGTAGTCTCCAGCTTTGTTTTCCTTGCTCAGAATTGTTTGGAGTATTTGGTTCCTAATCTGTTTTTATAGATGGAGCTGGTCTCATCCTTGTAGTCAGATTTCTATGGTTCTAGAGCTATTATGCTATGCAGTAGAGTAGCTGATAGCTGCTGCTTAAGATACTTAAATGTAATTTTACCTAATTAAAAAAAAAATCCAAGTCTTCGGTCTCTCTAGGCTCATGTCCAGTGCTCAGTATGGCATGTGGCTGCTGACTACTTTTTGGACAGCATTGCTGACAATCCTTTTCACTACAGAATGAGCTTCTTTCTCAGTGAGACTCTTTGGCAGTGAAGAGCTCTCCCAGGGCGGACCTGTACCTCCTGCCGCTTCCTTCTCTGTTAAGGTTTTTGCATAGCTGAATCACTTCTGGGTTTCAGGGGACTTTTACCTTGTTGCTGCATTTGTTGACTGGGAAATGGATAGATTCCATGATAAATAAGTCAGTGTGTGTTAATCACAAGATTCTTTGGAATTCCCCACTTTGGCCTCTATTTTTGTTGTAGATTGCTTTTTTTCCCACTGATAGTGACCTTAAAAATGCCTGGCTTTGGAACAGAGACTGCTTTAACAGAAAGGCTCTTTACTCATCACATATTTCCTTCCATGCTGTAGCAATTTTTACAAAAATCAAAGTACTAGAATACTGAGTTTGATGTTTGGCATAAAATCCACTGAGAGTGTTTGATTTCTGTAGATTTAAAAACTGATACTCTACCTCACTCTGTTGGACTCTTTC